GAAAATAATAAAAAGCCTTTGATCAAAAAAAATTATAACTCTAATTCAAGCAGAATAGCCTATTGTCAAAGATAATTATGGAGTGTGATTTATTTTCAACTCAAAATATCTTCAAACTAACGAAATATAAAGTTATTAGGGAGGAAAACCCATCTGGATAACAGCAGACTGACTGCTCGTAAAATATACGACAGGTCTGGACCACTCGTGTATTTTGTTCWTATCTGAAAAAAAAATCTTAGAATACGAAAACATTGGTGAATGCCATAAATTCTCCTAAAGCACTCATACGCACAATTTAAGAACAAATCTGTGCGTACGAACAGTTCTTGCATGAGGCCCAATGTTTTCCGGAGCGTGTCCCCAAATTATTTTGTTATTATTTCTGTCACCACCAGCAGATTGGATCAAACCAAGCACCTTTTTCACATAAATCTGCTCCGCTAGAGTAGCAGAAACATCAATTTTGTGCAGCCTATTGTTTGATTAATAGCTTTTGCATTCATAAAATATGATGTCATTGAAAAGGATTCAGAGTAATAGCTTTCTCTGTTTGCTCATCACTTTTTCCTTGCTAGTTTTCCCTTTGATGCTGCTATCTTGCTACATTTTTATTTTCCTCCGAGTGACTGTGTTTTCATTTGGTTTAAAATTAAAATGTCCAAAGCATTGGCATAGTTTTAGTTTTGCAATGAAGTGTATAACAAATAAAGTAGTAGTTATCATTTGTGCTTCCTGAGTGCYGTACTCATATTTAGCCCTTCTTCACCTGCTCAGAAAATCAAGAGTAACAAAGAAACAGCAGTCAAGAAACAAAGAACATGTTGCAAAAGTAAGCCAAGACTTAAACAAATGGATATCTTTTCAATTGTTTCTTGGTTTTGTTCCAGTCAGAAATAAAGCTGTCTTCTCCTCTCGCACACTTCTACCATAAACCCATGGAAATGTTCTGCATTGGCAGATTTCTGTTGAAAGTGGCTGTTGTGCCTGGAGAGCCTGAGTGTCTGTACAGCCCAGATGTGCACACAACCAGAAAACAGAAAGGAGTTGGTACATTTTTACAGTCAGTCTGCTGCGTTTAGCTGGTTGTTACACAGACACTGCCTAAAGGTTCGTGCCCAACAACATCCTGAACACAGTAACAAACATGAAATAATATGTAAAAAGGGACAATTTTCTGTAAAAAAAAAAAACTGTCAACACAAAGTTCAACTGTATTGTAAAACATGATTAAAAATAAGTCTTTTTAGT